ACCCCACCCCCCGCTCACCTGGCCTGCAGCAGCTGGGGGTCCCTTGGCCCTGCTCCCAAGTGGGCGGCTGGACAGACAGGATGGTGGGGGCTGGGTGAGTGCCCAGCCCTGCTCCATAAATGGGACCGAAAGGCTCCGCCCGACGGGTCCAGGGCCAGGCTCTGAGGCACAAAATGAACCCCTTCAGTTAGACGCGGTGATGGGTAAGGAGAGCGCCAGCCTGCAGAGAAGGTGGAGAGCGCGCTGTCTTGTTAAAAATGTGAGTGCGTCCGTAAACTCCCACCATCATCGGTCCCAGATGTCAGAGAAGGTCAAAGGTCAAATAGCGCACGTGCAGGGCCACGGGGGGCAAGAGTGGTCTCATATCTGCTTGTGGGCGTGGCCACTTGTCGGTGCTCACTTGGAAGTTACTGCACCCTGACCGTAGTCGGGTTCTCACAGAAGCAAGTGGAGTGGAAGGGTCTCCCTGGGACAGGCACGGCCCAGCTGCCGCGTCACGCAGAGGGGAAGGAATACTTTGAAGGAGTATTTTTAAGAAAAACTGTGAACACAAATGGTTTGTATCCAACACAAGACATTTAGGGAAGAGCAGCCGAGTGAATTAGAGAAAGAAGGAAGGAACTGTGAGAGCAGAAATTCCTGGACAACCGAGGAGGCGGAGGGGGTGCGGAGGAGGCAGCTCGGCTGCCCCTGAGTGAGGCTGGCATCGGCTCCGCCTTCCTGCGGCTCCATGGGTTCCCTCAGCCCCGGGCTCTCCTGCCCCCGCCCCCAGGGGCTGCTGGTGGCAGGTTTCTCTGAGCCTGTGCCCAGCCCTCGTGCCAGGGGAGCCCCAGCTCAGACTCCTCCCAGCCTGACTGCCTGTCCAGACACTGGCCCATGAGGGAGCCTTCGTGTGTGTCCAGCAGGGCTGGCCGGGCATCCCTGGGCCTGGGGGGTGCGTCCCAGAGAAGCCTGCAGCCACTGGTCCTCATGGAGACCATAGCCCTGACCATCCTGGGCCCAGGAGCCCCACTTGAGAAGAACGGTGTACTGTTAGTTCTGAAATGGGGATGGAACCCGGTGTGGGGAGAGCTACGGGGCCAGGACCCTGAAGACAGAAATGCGATAGGGGCTACTGGGGGTGGGGGGTGGGACCAGGCGCGACATCAGGGGCGGGCCCTGACTTCACTTAGGGAGCTCACTGCAGCTCTGCAGAGCGGGGAGTGTCCTGTCGCTGTCGCCTCTCACAGCTGCAGGTGCTGGCTGGAGCGGGAGCCGGAGCCCGCCCTCCCTGGGACATAACTTTCAGCAGGTCCAAATGGGAAGTACATGTGCCCTTTGACCCAGAAATCACACTTCCGGCAGTCACTGTAAGGAAATAAAACGATCATTAAATTCCTCCACCCACACTTGTTGCGTTCCTGCCCTGTGGGCTGTGCTGGTGGAGGGACACCCACTCCTGGATCTCGAGAGGCGATGGGACCTGGCCTGACACAGGACCGGCCAGGGCGTGAGAGCGGCTGCACCAGTTTTGGAATCAGCTGAGGGAGGGCGTGCAAACGTGTGTCACTGGGCAGGCAGCGAGCAACAGCCACCCCTGCTGCGCTTGTCCCCACCACGATCCTGCTGGGCGAGCGACAGACCCGGCGGCCTCAGGGCCAACTTCCCAGAGCCGCTCTGGTCCCTGGAGGGTCCTGCTGGGAGAGTTCCGCTGGGCCCCTGGCCCGAACCTGAGGAGCTGTGCCCACCAGGGCACCACACTGCCTGTCTGCTTCTGCCCCCACCCTGCCTTCCTTCCTGTGACCAGGCTATGTGGCGTCCATCATGGGCAGGAGGAGGCCGCTGCCAAGGATCCACGCGCGGAACCCGCAGCTCCGGGCACAGGCAGAGCGGCAGGCGGTGAACTTCGTGGTGCAAGGTACCCGGAGCCCCCAGCTTGCCTGCTGGGTCCATGTGCTGCCCGGGCTTTTAGCAGCCGTAGGGCCAGTGATACCCCCCCCCCATCACCCACCCACAGCCCGGCTCCCACAGCCCCAGCCCCCAGAGCAGGAGGTAGGCCGGGTGACACCACATTGTTTGCCTCCCGTTATGCAAACGCCTTAGTCACCTTCAGCCACAGCGTGTGAATAGCTTGTGTTTCGGCAGGAGGTGAGTGAGAGACGTGATCAGGGGCTGCACACCACGTACCATGAGCTGTCGCCACCTAGGACTCCAGACTCACAGATGGAGGGCGGAGGCCCCAGGTCCAGAGAAGCCTGGAGGATGGATGGGTGGATTCCAGCCCCTCCCCCATGCCTGCTCCCCTTCTCCCCCAGGGGCTGTTCCACAGCTAGAGGAGGGGCCCAGCAGAGGACAGAGGTCAAGTCCCAGCGCATCCTACAGAGAGCCCAGGAGAGAGGGCCGCAGCTGCTGGGACGGCAGCTAGGATCTGCCTGGGCTCAGTGTAGGGTCTTCCCCAGTCCTGTCTCCCGGCCCAACCCCGGACAGAACCGAGGATGGTAACACCGCCCCATCCTCAGGTGGCACTGATTCCGAGGCAGGTTCTCATGTATGCAGGAGTGGTCTTGACCCATTTCTCCGTGCACTAGGTGTGTGCAAGGGGTGTTCACTAGGTGTGTTGACTGGGTGTGTGCAGGTGTTCACTATGTGTATGCATTAGGTGTGTGCAAGGGGTGTTCACTAGGTGTGTGTACTGGGTGTGTGCAGGTGTTCACTATGTGTGTGCATTAGGTGTGTGCAAGGGGTGTTCACTAGGTGTGTGCACTGGGTGTGTGCAGGTGTTCACTATGTGTATGCATTAGGTGTGTGCACCGGGTGTTCACTATGTGTATGCACTACCTGTGCATACACTAGGTGTGTGCACTATGTGTGTGCACTATGTGTGTGCACTAGCTATGTACATGGGGTGTGCACTAGGTGTGTACACTAGGTATGTACATGGGGTGTGCACTAGGTGTGTACACTAGGTGTGTGTGTGCAGGGGTGTTCACTATGTGTGTGTACTAGGTGTGTACATGGGGGGTGCACTAGGTGTATGCACTAGATGTGTGCATTGGGTGTGTGCGCTAGGTGTGTGCAGCAGGTGTGTGCACTAGGTATGTGCATTAAGTGTGTGCACTAGGTGTGTGCAGCAGGTGTTCACTGTGTGTATGCATTAGGTATGAGCAGCAGGTATTCACTGTGTGTGTGCACTAGGTGTGTGCAAGGGGTGTTCACTAGGTATATGCATTAGGTATGTGCACTAGGTGTGTGCAGTAGGTGTGTGCAGCAGGTGTGCACTGTGTGTGTGCACTAGGTGTGTGCAAGGGGTGTTCACTAGGTATATGCATTAGGTATGTGCACTAGGTGTGTGCAGTAGGTGTGTGCAGCAGGTGTTCACTGTGTGTGTGCACTAGGTGTGTGCAAGGGGTGTTCACTAGGTATATGCATTAGGTATGTGCACTAGGTGTGTGCAGTAGGTGTGTGCAGCAGGTGTTCACTGTGTGTGTGCACTAGGTGTGTGCAAGGGGTGTTCACTAGGTATATGCATTAGGTATGTGCACTAGGTGTGTGCATTAGGTGTGTGCACTAGGTGTGTGCATTAGGTGTGTGTGTGCAAGGGGTGTTCACTATGTGTGTGCACTAGGTGTGTGCAGGGGGTGTTCACTATGTGTATGCATTAGGTGTGTGCAGCGGGTGTTCACTATGTGTATGCACTAGGTATGTGCATTAGGTGTGTTCACTAGGTGCGTGCACTATGTGTGTGCATTAGGTGTGTGCACTAGATGTGTGAAGGGGGTGTTCACTACGTGTGTGCACTAGGTGTGTGCACTAGGTGTGTGCAGGGGTGTTCACTGGATACCCACTGTGCACCTGGCACTGAGAGGCCTGTCCCCTGTGCTAGCAGGACCTGGTCAGGCCGGACGCAGTGTTGGCTGAGTGAATGCCCACCTGACCACGTGGCTCATCCCCACCCACACCCGGCTGCCCTCTGCCCTGCAGAGCTGAGGTCACCAGCATGAAGCCGCACGAGTGACGGGCATGGGAAGGGTTGAGCCACACCGCGCAGTCACTGTGAGGTCACTGTGAGCTGGTATGATGGGCGGGATTCTAGTCCGTGCCCACGTGCGTGCCCATGTGCGACAGGACCTGTGTGCATGCGGGACGTCATGCCTGTGACTAGGTCATGCTACATGGAAAGGGGGTTTGCGGACATGAGGAAGGCCCCTCATCAGTTGAGTTCATGGGAAGGGGATCGCCCGTGGGCCTGACCTACTCACGTGGGCCCTTGACAGCAGGACTCGGGGTCAGAGCTGGAGACTGACGGCCGCGGTGCGCCCGCTGGCCATAAGAGCAAACTGCTGGGTGCCCCCACCGTGAGCGGGGCGGCCTCCAAGGCCAGTGCCCTCGGCCCACAGCCAGCATGGACCCGGGGACTCAGTCACTGGCTGCAGGGACAGGCATTTCCCCAGCACCGAGGTCCCGGGGGAGTGGGTCTCCCCTCGCCCAGCAACCAGATGGGAGCCTGGCTGAGCCTCGCACTGGCGTCAGCCTGATGGGCACCCGTGGGGCTCCTGACACGCAGGAGCCAGGAGGTGGTGGACCCCGTGCTGGGCGGCTGCTGGGGCCTGGGCCTGGGCCTCGCGTTGTTGGTGCAACAGGACCTCTGTGCCCGCAGGCTCGGCCGCAGACCTCTGCAAGATGGCCATGATCCACGTCTTCGCAGCAGTGGCCGCGTCCCCAACCCTGACGGCCAGGTCAGTGAGCAAGCGGCAGCCCGCCCCACCCGGCTAGCGCATGGCCCTGCAGTGCCCAGGGCGGCGGCGGGGGCACTGCTCTCAGGCTGGCCGGCAAGTGCACAACCAGCTCCCAGCCACCCCTGCGTCTGAGTCATCCCCCAAGCCAAGGGCCTCCCTCGAGTCTCCTGTCAGCACCCCTGGGAGGGCCTTTCCCCCCCAGCACCCTAGGGCCTGGCACAGCAGCACGGAGGCCACAGGCCCTTCACCTTGGGGCACCCTGAGGTCCTGAGGTTCACCTGGTGCAGAAATGTGTCTCCCCAGGCCCTGGTGCCCCCTTCTCAGGGCCTCTGAGCTCCTTCAGGCACAGCAGCTGCCCCCGGAGGCGGGTGGACCCAAAGCTCTCAGGACACAGGCTCCAGACTGTCCACTCCCACCCTCTTCAGTGAGGGTGCTGGTGCCCAGCTCCTGCTGCTGCCCTGCCCCAGGGCCAGCGTCCCACACACCTCACAGGAGGGCCACCGGGGCTACCGGGGCCACAGCTTTGTCTGGTCGGCCTCCACCGCAGTCCTTCCCCCAGTGGCCCCTCCAGAGTGTCCCCGTGGTGGTTACAAGAGCCCTCACCCAGCCTCTGCTGGCCCAGGACCACCCTCCCAGCTCCCAGCCCCCGGCCCTGGTGAGCCCCCGGCTCATCTGAAGTCCCCAGACAAGTGGGCATGTCGGGCCCAGGCGGTCTGGCTCCCTCCTCCGCCGTCCCCAGGGTCACTTGCCGAGTGGCCTGTCCCTGCCGAAGGGCCCTT